CTTTGTTTTGTCGCATCGATTGTAAGACGATATTGGAGATATAATTTCCACTGATCGATCAACGCGTACATGCAATTACATATCCAGGCGATTGAAGCCTGCAGAAGATTGAACCTAGTATTCGATAAAATGGCTGAATCCAGTGATTTTGGCACAGTTTTGGGCACCAGTTGAAAACCTGAAAACTAAAAGCTGTATTTGATTTTAAGGCTTTTAATTCCCTAAGAGTCATGATTTTGGCAATTGGATTTTGCCATTTTATCGCATATGAGGTTATTGTTACTTCACTAGTAAGAAGCATAACATGTAACATGAGTTTTTATAGATAGAGGACTCCTGTTGAATCCCTTCTTTCCTACATAGACAAAGGTGTGCCTCTACCAGTCCAGCATGTTTGTGAATCATGACCCATGAAGTTTCCAGAAATTTTGAGATAACTCACGAGATCCTTGGACGATGATGACTGCTAGGGAGCATTCGCGTATTCGTTCTTCGTAGCAGCAAGTGCCTAAAGCTCCTTGAAAACCGACTAGTTCTCTTCGAGATCGCGACTTATGTCAAGATCAAACAGATCGGGAGTTGACGGTGACCTATTGATCACTGACAAATCCTCATCAATTAACGAGCAGCCAGATTTCTCCTACATATTTAGGCTCTTGCAATTTCTGGTACTACAAAATGTATTTATGATGTTCTTCATCCAGAAGCAAACCTGCAAATCACAGCAAAAAGATTGGTTATAATTATGAACAGTGTATGAACACGTGAACAATAAATGTGTGATTAGTGAATACATATTCATTCCATGTCTCTACAGGAAAATAATCTCACTAATTACCATGAAACGAATGTACAAAAGACATTAAGAGGAGTAGTCATAAATGCACATATACCTTGCTCTTGGTTGCCAAATGACCTTAATCATCTCAACCTACGATATACACAACAGAAACATAAGTTTCAATGAAGAACAATTTCAAGCATGAATTAAGCGCAGAATTTTGATTAGATTGGAATCTTAAATTATTAGAATACAACCATGAGACTTGCGGTTCTCAATGACAGTGTGCTAAATAACAAACTTATACAAATCAAAAAGCAGTGGCAGGGAACAAAATTAAGCAAATCACAATTACCTCAAATCGGTCAAGGCAGATCGATCTAATCACTGGAAGAATCACAACATGCACAAACATCGGAGAACCTTACCGTAGAAGACATTGTAAAATCAGAAATGAACACTGGTATAGAAGTAAGAGTAGGAATGGTGTCAAAAACGAAAACTGCTGCAACAAAAGTCCCCCTGAACACCAATACACAAGTTAATTTGCAGCACTATACAAAACTGATGCTAAATCCTAAACAAGTGAATAAGATCTAAGTTAGCACAAATAACATCAAAGTAAACAGATGATTCAACACAAGGAAATGAAAAATGAAACCTTGAACTGACGCGATAAAGGCAAATAACAGCACAAAATAAAGCCAAAAGATAATAAAAGCTTACACATTACATGTTACACGCCAATTGGTTAATAAACAAGAAACCAACAAACACAGAATAATAGGCATTGTGAAAAACGAAGAGCCGCCAGCTACAGAGCCATGAAGCACCATAAACAAAAGATCCCAGGAAAGAACTCTGAATATGCACACGGAACTGAGTCAGGAAAGAAGGAAAAACAAAAAACCAAAAAAACCTCACCAAGCACTTGCAACATTGGACAGAACTAAGACAAATATTCATTTATCAATGCAGGGCCCGCTCAAGTATTCTCGCATCTGGTCCGTGCTAGCAAGTTCACCACAGCAACATTGGCTCGTCATAAGCAGAAGGGCGGCACGTCTATATATCAGCTGAGTGATTGTGCGCTTCAACATATACAGGATGTTGTGCAAAGACACCGAGAGCGTGATGACTAGGAGTTCGAATCTGATGAGGACCAGGAATCCGTTAGTTGTTTTGGAAGAGGGTTGCTCAGAGGACTCAGAGTGGGAGCCCTCTACCTACACATAGTGCAGGATTAGAATCAATAAAAGAGGCTGTTGGACAGTTTCTTAGCATTTGTTACTAAATTGAAGCTCATGTAACACTTGTACAATGATTTTTTGAATGGTTCTTGCTTGCTGATTCATGCAACGTCACCCGTCCCATACCCCAACTTCGTAGTTGCTTTGCTTTGCTGCATGTACTTGCAGTTACTTTGTTGATGCAGTTACTAGAGTTTCTTCCAATCTCGATGTTGGAAAAAGCGTGTGGTAGACTGCCTTAAATTCCGCGCAAAAGCTTTCAGCGGAGACGGCGGATTTTCCATAAACCTCGTATTCGATAAAATGGCAGAATCCAGTGATTTTGGCATAGTTTTGGGCGCCCGCCGAAAACCTGAAATCCAAAGCTGTATTAGATTTCAAAGCTTTTAGTTCCCTGAGAGTCATAATTTTGGCAATTGGATTCTGCCATTTTATCGAATATAAGGTTCATATTAACATACTTAGTAGGAAACCGATCGATATTAACACGGCACTGGTTTTCCGATTCAATTTTGCTAGCATATCAATATCTGAGGGTCATATGTTATCTCGAATTCCGACAATCTGCCATCAACTGCTGGTTGCCATGCATGGCTTCAATAGCAATCCTTCAAACTCTTTCCTGATTATTTCACTTCAAGGACTGTACAAATGTGGTCAGGAGAAGTATTTCAGCTGTGTGGTAAACTTCATTTCACAAAATTAGCGTTGTCAAACTGGAGCTCTACATTCAAATGAAGATTACGTACGTAGACATCGGCCCAAAAATAACAACATCCTATGAACACGAAAGCAAACTCAACAAAATTGTACACAATCTCATTCTCAGACCAAATAACTCCAACAACGAAAGTGGTGATGCAATCTGCAATTGGAATGCAATCTATACACACACCTCGAGCGAACCTTGAACTCAACCAACAACCCCACCACATCAGACATGATCAAATGTTCAAGTTAGTAGCAGATCTCATATTACTCAGTCTCACATGCGCAGAGGGATCTGGCAGCTAGTGTAAAACCACGTGATCATTCGTCTAAAGACCAACTTCAGCAATCATGCGCAATAAAATCACCACGTTAATGTAAGAAATTACAATGAACCAATGTTTTTTTTCCTTGATCAATGTAATTGAACAGAGGTCCTCATTCATGTCAGTCCACTATTCTGTTTAGTTGCAAACCTTGCTTCGAAGCTGCATGAACAGCGTCCAGGTCAAGGGCTTCGTCACGAACGCCATGGGCTCCACCATCGACACGGACTTCCTCTACAATGCCACTGCGCTCAACAGCAACTGCAAGTTGGACTTCAAGTACGATGGGATCACCACCGGACACCAAGTACGATATCATCATAATTAATATCTCTTAAAGATTCACATCAACCATACATTTGCAAGAATATCATATCTATATGTAATGTGCTATGGATTTGTAGCATATAGCCTACCCCCAGTACATGCTTTCCATTAAATCAATTATTAAATATACTACTTTTATTATGAAGGGTGATTTCTTAAAAAAAATTCAAAATAATCCATATTGCATTATTTTAAAATTTTTAAAGATGATGTTGAGTTTGTTAAAAAAAAAAAATGGTTGTATATTAATTGATATGATTTTGATATTAATTATCAAGGTTTTTTTCTTTTTGAATGTTTGTTTTGAAATTTCTTTTGGAAAAAAAATGAGAAAATTGATCAATTTGCTTCCTGTAATAATCAAAAGGTTGTTCTATCTACGTATACTATCACATACTACCTAAATCTTGGTAGTCTACAAGTAGTATTTGCAAGTATTTTTTTTGCAATTAATAAAAACAAGCTTTGCCATACATTGCATCAAATTTGTAGAGATCAATATTTAATCAACAAGTTTTTATTATGTCGCAAGGAGTCGAAATATTAATCCCTAAAGTTCTTTTCAAATTTTCTCCAAAAACACTTCAAAACTACATATTCTAGTGCAAAGAGAGGGGAAGAAAAAAAGAAGTTCATTTTCTATTTTTAATTGTAAGATCTTAATTTAGAGTATTACAAGAACAAGTAGTAATTTTTTTTAATTTTTCCACCGTATGGATTAGAAGATTATAGTATTTGAAGTGAAAAACTTAGTCATTTTTGGACCATACAAAACAAGACCAGCACACTTTGTCTCCTCTTTAAAAATTATCTCTTGCATCTTTTCTTATGAGGAGATATTACCAAATAAAAGTAGACCATATAAGCTATATTATTACCGAATTTCAAATGTAACAAAAGTGTGTAGCATTCTCAAAATAGCCTTGCAAGTAGAAGGGATTCAAAACTTGGTAATTAGCATTTTGTTTTTTATTGTAAATTCAGGATCTTGAAAATCCAAGGTCCAAATAGTGAAACCAAAGTTTCATACCTTTTTTCAAAGTAGAGAAAATTAAAAGAGCAAAAAAGCAAAATCTCTTATATGGCAAAGAAAAAGTTTTTTTGCACCCTACCCGGTAAGGTGTGAAAACTTTAATTCTTTTTTAAAAGAAGGTTTATTTCAAAAAGTGGTTTTTTCAAGATTATCAAATAGTATGATATTAGCTTCTTATACAAAAAAATTCAAAGATAATGAAGCAATTTAGATTTGCTACCCAAGGTGCCCAACGAATAGGAATTTTTGCTTAGGGCATCATAACTTTTTTTTGTGATGTCCAAATGATAAAAAAAAAATTAGATCTCCATGAAGCTCTAACATTCCTACACCTTCAAAAAAAGTTTCAATAAAATATGCTTAAAATTGACATCATAGGAACCTGTCTGAATTCTCAAAAAAAACCCGTTTTGGGAATTGTCTTTTGGAGGTTAATAAAGGGAAAGTACCAAACTGCAGTAGCAATTTCCAAAATCAGAGAACATCTTCCTTTTAACAATCCTCCTTGAAGCATACTTTACAGGTAACACAAATCTCCTTGGGCACATGAACTCCACAAAAGCATGGATTCATGAAATATGAATTTTTGCCTAAAGTTTCCTCTCTTTTCATTGATGTTGAATATTGATATTGTTTTGGAATCTGATAGAATCTGCTCCCATACTCACAAAACGATATGAAAGGGAGCATATCATTACAGAATCAATAGCGGTCGCCATCCGACTCGATGGAAATAAGGTGCTCACAAGACGAAGCTCAATGCTTTCACTCGAACACCGCACGAAAAGTGGAACAAAACCCCCCCGTATTTCAGCCACGTCCGAGCCTTTTCCTGAGGTGGTTGATGAAAGCTTGCTTGAACAGGTGCTTACTCTACACTTAACAGGGCTAAATACAAGGATATCATGCAGCACTTGTTCCTTTTCCGCTAGCTCACATGTATGCCAAGAGGTATTCTAAGCGCACGCGCTCTGCCTTCCGTAACTTCTTGCTCCTGGTAACACACGAGAAGCCAAAATCCAGGAAGCGGACGGGAGGCTGTTTTCTCCACACTACCATGATATTACGTGCCTCAATATCTCCATGAAGTAACCCGCATTCATGGACTGCATCGAGCGCTTCAAGTGCAGGAGTCTTCACCTCCTGGGTCACTGCTACTGAAAAATAATCACCACACAAACGTAAATATATTACTACTCTACAAGAAGATTGCAGTTCCTCACGTAAACTGGTCCTTCAAGCAGCATTTCATAGAACCACAATGCTCAGGCTACAAGGAACCCTCAAGATCAGAATACGGAGAGTAGCATGCTTCACATTGGATAGTTTCGCAAGCAATCCTACTTTCTCCAAGTTCAACGCCATCAATCGATTCGATGACGACAAATACAGCCCGACCCGTACATGTAGTTCCATATCCTGTTAATCGAGGGACGAAAACCCCCCAAAGCTTCTCCATCTTCTGATAGGCAACTACCTCCTTCAGGAGAGCCTGCACAAGCACGGCCAAAAAATGTGCTGGACAGAATAAGATCACAAAAAGGTAAGGTGTCGAAAACTGCACGCGCACTTCCGCACCGACATGCCTCACGTTGCATCCAGCTAAGACTACCTGCTACTAAAGATGTTGCAAACAAGACCTCTCCAGCTCAGCCCTGTAGTAGACCACAATATAGCAACTTTGACCTTTCAACCCAATACTCCCACGTAATGCAACTCCGGCTCACCTCCGCACGTTGTGTGTTTAAGTAGGCAAACTTCACTGCAACAGCCTGCCCATACAAACGGCCACTAGCAACGCACCGACTCCACCCCTCACAACTTATGATACCGCCCGTCATTTTCAGGTTCAGGTCCTCGGCAGAGACATCTTTCAAAGCCAGCTGGTTCCCATCTGGGCGATTTCTTGTTGACCTGCAAATGCAGTTGCAGTCATTTCACCATTTGTTCTACTTCATTGGACAATTTGGATAGCTGGCTGGACAACTTACTTTGGTCTTTCAGGGACACTGATGTTGTTCTCACGGCCTCTAAAGTCTGGATCGCTCTTAACGTCATCAGAGCTTTCACTGAAAGACTCGAAAGGGGCAGCTCCATGTAATTTGGGAGTTTCGCCATTCCTGAGTCCCTTACCAAACTTGGTGTTATCGTTAGAAGCAATGTCAACCAAATATAACAACGCATCAAGCACGGGTGGGTGCCCACCCATCGCCTTAAAACCAACTGATATTTTGAGGCAGCCGGCATTATCCCGTTTGAAGAGGTACCAATCTCTAGAGTCAGTCAGGATGCCGTAACCCACCTCAAAGCTGCAAACTAGAGCAAACCAAAACTGCATTTGCTACGTACCAATAAGCAAAGAAGTAAATGTTTACAATTTATTAGAAGCACATGTTCTTATGTTTGTTTGGTTGGATTTTTGCATCAGATGGGAGGATTCAACTCTCCGTTAGCCCCAACTGTGACCGCTTTTCTATCTCTCATGGCTCAAAAGGAGAAGACACCCCGTCTATTGCAGCTGTGGTTGCCACGAAGAACTGGCCCGATATCTTTCATTATGCCACACGAGCACAAACACAGCCGGCAACGATGGAGATGATTGAGGGTCTCCATATTGAGGGAAAGGGCGGGATGGTCAAGTAAGTGTAAATTCCCACTTTGCCATTATTGTTGAGGTCTTTCCTTCGCTTTCGAGATTGTTAGATGAATTTCTGATTGACTCAAATCATTGAGCTTCCAACCACTGCAGGGATTTGCTCCTCGAGTACCACAGAACATGCCGGGGTCCCATGTGCAAGCCCAATCAAATAATTGTCTACAGGTAAGCACTTCTGGCACTACAGATCTAGTGTGATTTTACATGCTTGTCTTTAAACTTGTATCTTCAGGCTATGCAATTTGGTCCTTAAGTTTTAATATCTCTGCTTCTTTCCGATAACCATTTGATGTTCCAAAACGATAACACACTGCACACCTTGAATGGTCCTACATTAGTATGCTTGAATTTAAGGCTCTGGCTTGTCTCTTTGTCCATTCAGGAATCGCGTTAGTGAATGCCAGTTTGCGGAAGTTCTGGAGAAAGAGGTTATTGCGTTTAAAAGAGTACGTTAATTCAGCCCTTGCTCTTCTTCCCCTTTACAGTTAACATGTTTAACAACTTTAACATATTTTTCTGTTCTCAGAATATATGTAGGCAGCTGTGTATGACTTATTTGTTGTCCTCGCAGGCGTGCAGAGACATCGAACCCGATTACAACCCAGGGATCACTTTCATCGTTGCTCAGAAGCGACACAACACACGTTTCTTTCCTCAGGGTCGTGATACCTTGCGAAATGGAAATGTTATGCCAGGTAATGCCGTAACATATATCTCTTTCATTCTGGATACACCAAACTTCAATATCTTATTCTAAGTGTTGCACGGTTGAGTCCCACATTAGAAACAGCGAATGAGATGGTTAAGCAATTTATCCGAAAAAATTAAGTGAATTTTCAAAAGTAGAAGGCTATATTGGTGTGCAGGCACTGTTGTGGACAAGGACATCTGCCATCCCCACAACTACGACTTTTTCCTGGTCAGCCAAGCTGGCCTCATTGTACTCATTCATACCCTTAGGCCACATTTTATTATCAAAGGACATGCGTTTCTTGTGTGCTGCTTCCATTGCCCGATGCTCCTGTTTCAATTATCTTATTTGAATATGTACTTAAGAATTTGGGATTGGCTGGAATGCAGGGTACATCTCGTCCTACACACTACCACGTACTTGTGAATGAGAACAAGCTTGGGCCTGATGATATCCAGAGCTTAACGAACAATCTGTGCTACACGTAAGTACCAATTCTAACTGAACTTTGATGGTATTTACTCCAATACAATCAAATTTGATATACTCCCATGGATAGAAGTATCCTTGATTTAAATTCCTGTATTAAAAAGTGAGGTGAATCGTCCAGGTTTGGCCGCTGCTCAACATCAATTTCCATGGGCAAGTTCCCTCTAGAAAACTCTTTTCACATACTTGGCCCTCTGGTTTAAATTCTCCATTAAGCAAGTACAACTAAACACAGCACATGTTCTTATTCAATTCTCTCATACGAAGTTACCTCTTGTATGTTGTGATTACAGCGGCGCCAGCAGCTTATGCCCAGGTTGTGGCACAGAGGTACAGGAAGCTGGTCGACACTTGGAAAGGATCTGACACAAACTCTTCTGTGAAGAGTGGAGGAAAGGGCTCAAGCGCTCCAAAGCCAATCCAGGCTCTTCTGGAACTGGAGTTGAACCCAGAGTATTCGATGTTTTTCTGCTGAATTTTGCACTGCGATGAACTTAGTGAATGAGCTAGTTGTGATTGTAAATAAGCAGACTTTAATCCAGACTCGTAGTTTATATAAGCGAGGAGTATCGTTTTTTGGACTCCCACCAGAACTAAACAAGTTCAGTATTAACAGAAACTGTACAAAGACGCTGCCTTCGAATAATATCCTTCGTTAAAAGTGAAGGCATTTTGGTCGCAACCTTTGTAAAGGCTTGGAGCATGATAGACGCTGTCCCATGTATAATTCTGGAATAGAAGCTTATGGATGTGCTATCCAGGTGCTCATAATTTCTGTGTGAATCTTAAGAATCCAGTATATTGTCACTGTTGTTTCAGGCTATGTTTGTGCATAACTCCTGCTGTCGAGCTTAATTCAAGGAGCATATCCTAATTACTGGAACGGTTAGACCTAATTATATAAGCCCGCATCCTGCAGATTGGCATTACTCCAGAGCTGGTCTTTCTATGCTATGTCTCCTTGACTCTTTTGATCAATCTCTGGAACATTTCTTACAAGCTGTCAAAGTGACCATTCTAATGTACACAATGCCTACTTAATCAACTCTAGTCTTTGCCAAGTGCATCAAATTTTATAACATTGTGATTCTCATGAAGCTAGCAGTGCCAAAGTGTACAATACTGTGACTCGTGTGAAGTGTGAAGAAACCCTTGTACATTCTCATTTGCTCATTTAACTATAAAAGCTAACTTACAGGGACTGTCACAGTTCTCATCAGCGCCTCCTGCTTAAATTCGCGATGATAAACATGCTGCTGTGGCCGAGGTGTGGCCGAGGTGCAGTTGTAGTGTGGCCGAGGATCAGGTTAGGTGGCAATTGCAACTTGTTAATGCAGGTTCCTCACTTGAATTCAGCTACTTCAATCTGTTCCAGCGTGCGGATTTCATGGAATTTCTGACAATGACATTTTCCACAAGAAAATGGAAGAAAAATTTACTATATTTTTTTCATGAGTAGTTGTAAAATTAGATAACATGTTTGGGAAATAGTGGCACAACATCTTCAATGAACATTCTCATTGCTCAATTTTAGGTTATTTAGAGTGTCCAAAGTAGTGTTTTTCTTGTAATGATGTGTGAGCCGATTTTTGCATCTCACATGTTTGTTAATTTAATTTTAATTAAAAAATTAAAATTTAAACCAATGTTAGTTTAGAAAATTGTAGTTACAATATATATTACTAGAAATAGTTTCATTTAGATAATAGAAGAAAAAAATATTGATTTGCAAGAGTTTTTAAGAGAAATAGTGAGTTAAATTTTTTTTTATTAGAGGATATAGATTTTTACCATTGAGACTTAGAATTAGTAAAATTTTTATTTCCATCAATAACTTTAAATGATGAGTCTTCTTATTGTTAGTGTAAATTAGAATTGGCACCTAGAAATTAATGTTCTTGGATTTCAATAAATTTTCTTATACTTCTATATTTGTGAAAAATCACAAACAATCAGGTGAGCTTTTAGTTATGTGATGTTTCCAGCTAATACCATAATTATAGTATTATTGAACTATTAATAGATAATTAGGAGCCCATCAAAATATAATTAAAAATTAGTGTAGCTCTTAGTTGTAGAGAAAGAAGAATCCACATTGATTTGAGGAGCTGTTTTCTTTTCTTTTTTTTCTTTCTCTTTATATACATTGTACAAAGTATTGAAATACATAACCACTATTTTTTTATTTTCTTTATATAGATCATATTTTTGGTGTATTATAAATGAGTGATATCAAAGAAAATCTAGATAACATTCAGTCACATAGAATAGAGACTTTTAGTAGAGAGTATATTTGGTAGTAGTACTACAAAATAGTGCTAGAACTTCACTTCAAGCATACAAAATATTTGAGTTTGATAAAGAGAGCAAATAAGTAATCTCAACTATGATTTTCAATTTTTTCACTAAGCTTGGTAATATTGAAGTAAACACAATATTAAACTAAAATTAATTCTAACAATAACATACAATTATGGACATCTATGAAGATAGTAAAGATATGTTGGTTTATGGAGTGAGTGTAGTAGGATCTTATTGAAGAAACAAAGGCCTATGACATAGTGCTAGATGTTGATATGGAAGTGCAATATTTTCAACATTGCAATCTTTAACTACAAGGTTATTGGGTTTGGTTGCTTCATGAATTTGCCTCTTATTATGGATATCAGAATCATACAAAAAAAATATCCTTTTTCCATTAAGTGCAAGCAATTTCATTTTTGTGATTATTCTAGAACATACTCTAAGATCTACCATATAAAAAAATTGTGATTGACATTTTTGAATATTCAAAATGCGCTACCTCTTCACAAAATGTTATTATTGTTACTACTTCCAATGTCCTTTTTACTAGAATTTGGTACTCAAAGTACGAATATTTATAAAATATAAAAATAAAAATGAGTGGAGATGATGGGATTGTCTTGAAAAATTATAAAAAAGCATAAAGATGAATGAGTAGATATCATGGAGTAGTCTTAAAACATTGCAAAAATAATGGAGACAAAATGGTTTTGAAAAGGTCAAGTAAGAGTTTTGATATCGTCCTAAAGATACAAAGTACAAATCATGTAAATGGTTTTGAAATGTAAAAATAAGGATCATAAAATAATGACTTAAAAAACATTGACTATAAACTATAAAGCATCAAGTAAAAGCCATGAAAATGGCCTTGAAAGAAATGTGTGATATTAAGAGTTAATAAATATCATGTAAATGGCTTTAAAATATTCAAAATTTGAAATAGAAAAACCATATTTCATCTAAGATTAGGATAGAATTGCAAAGTAGTTAGTTCCGTATACTAGCCTTGTATCTTATTGAGTCTTAGGAAAGAATTGACATCATAGTTGGTAGTGGTAAAATAATTGGTGAACAATATTTCTAGTGGATGCTCTTATTTGGTAAAAGGTATTGTTGACAAGGTAGAAAATTACCATAGAACCTACCATGGTCAAGACATATTTGACTTAATTCCAAAGTTATTAATCCTCATTACATATTATTTTAGGAGAAATTTAGAATTAGCTTTGAAGGAATTTTTTTAGAAAAGAAAAGCTAGAGAATGAGCCAAAAAGCTTAAGAGGAAAAATGGTCATTAATTAATAATCATAGTTATATTTAATAGGAGATGTCCAAGCCTAGTTATTAGTTTCAAAATCCAAAGGAGTTGTCGTAGGGCAGAGGAAGGTGATGACCAGGTTAGCTGCATGTAGCTTGGTATGTAGCGTGGTTAGAGAACATGAGCACTTGGAAGAATCTCCATTGATCTATCTCATTATTGCTGTGATTTTCTTGAATATTTGTCACTGAGTTTATGCATGAAAATTTGAATAACAAAAATATTGTATCATGAATTGCTTATTCAACATTGAACGGAGTATGAGGATTTCGAATTTAATATCTGTTGATCCCTAGCAATTTCAGAACCTTCATGAATGGACATTGAATGAGCTAGTATGAAAAGACAGTAATCAACATTATAGGAAAGAGAATTAGCGATAGTCCAGATATCTATGAGTCTGAAGTATGGTGAAGTGAAAAACTATATATGTCTTAGGACTGTTACAAATGATGATTGGCATATATAGCAACGCCTAGAGGATTTACACTTGTTTTAGCTTGCTACTGAATTTGAATGGCTTTAGAGAGGATTGTGTCACTTTCAAGATCTAACTTGAGTAGTAATCGATTATTCTCACTTCCAGGTCCCTCACTTCCAATTCCCACAGTCATTCTTTCGAAAGTGTTCTCTCCTCGCTAGATCTTAAAGTTATAGTGTATGTTATCATGAGTTGAGGAATTTTCACTATCAAGTGGACAATTAGGTGGAACCTCAGCATCTGAAAAGCTTTCCAACAGAGTATGTTTCCTACTATGTTTGCATCTCATGTTGTAAGAAAAGCTGGAGAAGAACTAGGATGTGTTCGATATGTCAATATGAACTCATCGAAACACCTAAACTTGTTTATTGTTGAAGATGATGCTCAATATGGTGAGATATCAGTGGTTGTCTGACACTGAAGGAATTGAATCCACTGCAAAATCAAAGTTATCTACTTTATAGGATAATGTTCAAACTTTCATACCTTAAGACATAAGTTTGTTCTTGCTTTTGAGACTTTGCCAGATTGAGCAAAGCTCCCAATTTTATGTATAGTAGTTTCAACTAAATTTTTTCAGAATAGGAATAGGTACAATCTAACAACATACAGAATAGCTCATGTCTGGATGAATCAATATTTAGTCACATGTCAACTTGGGGTCGAGTTGGTAATTTCAATACCGCCATGAAATGTCTAATCATTTTTTGTGAGCATGAGGTGTTTGTACATTCGAAACGAAGTATTTGTAGTCTGTTGCCTGTATCAATGCTTCAAACATGGGCATTTTTGAAATATATCATAATCCATAGAAAGGTAATTCATATTGCATAACGATGTTTGAAAGGTGGCAACCATTGGATTGTGGAAGAGAATGGATGACGCCAATGGAAACTTAGAAGGGCAGCTAAGAAGCATGGAAGAGTAGATACAAAAACTGGAAGAGTGCATAAGAAGAGTAGAAGCGAGCATACAAAAAGTGGAAGATCAGGTCAAAAAATGCTTTGATGATTAGTAGAAACAACAACTTTGATGCAAAGAAGCACAACTTTATGATGAGAAAGCACAACTACAAAGCAAGGAAGCGCAACTTCAAGATGAGAAAGCACAACTACAAAGCAAAGAAACGCAACTTTGAGATGAGATATTGCAATTCTTGCAAGGACTTACCTTCTTCCGCTATCCATGTTCACAGTTCCAACCTCGCTTCATGCCTCCAACTCCAAGTCTCCAAGTAACAATGACCAACTCCACTATGACTGCAATAAGATTAATCTAGCAACTTCTACACTACTGTCTAACCACACACACAACAATCTTTCACACAAATGAAATAATTTCCACTCAACATATTATACCATGCCTTACCTGAGTGGTCAATTGCCTCGGAGGGAAAAGGAAGGCCGACCTTATTCCATACCCAATCACTTAACTCTCCTTCGTTGCTTACAGGGCTCACTGCTTTTCAGTGTAGGAGGGCCGGAGCCTTTCACCTTATAATCCCCTTAACAATTGCATGCCTAAGAGTGGAAGAAGGTCACCATAAGGCTCGAGGCTAGCCTCATGGAGTCGGCATAAAATCAAGTAAACGATAGGAAGTTAAAGTGAGTTAATAAAGTAATTGATAAAAGTTTAACTTATCTAGGTGAAACTTAAATTATTTAGATTTCAATTATTTACTTGCGTTAATTCAGTTACTATAGGTTAAAGTTTAAGTTATTTGGAGTTAAAAATGAATTATCTTGAGATTAAATATAATTTATCTAGATTGATTATAAGTTACTATCTAAATTAAAAATAAATTAACATGTTGTTAATTTAAATTTATTTTTAAGGTGAATTAATTTATTTTTAAGTAAATTCTAATTTATTTTTAAATAAATTCTAATTTATTTTTAAATAAATTCTAATTTATTTTTAAATAAATTCTAATTTATTTTTAAATAAATTCTAATTTATTTTTAAATAAATTCTAATTTATTTTTAAATAAATTCTAATTTATTTTTAAATAAATTCTAATTTATTTTTAAATAAATTCTAATTTATTTTAAAATAAATTCTAATTTATTTTAAAGTAAATTCTAATTTATTTTAAAGTAAATTCTAATTTATTTTAAATTAAATTCTAATTTATTTTAAATTAAATTAAATATTTTTGATTGAGATTTAATTAATTTAGATTTATTTAGTTATAATTATTTAGATTTAATTAATTTAATTGGAAATTAATCAATTTAATTAAATTTTAATTAATTTAGTTTGAATTCAATTAATTTAATTTAAGTTGAATTGCTTAGGTTTAAGTGGATTGTTCCAAGTCATTTCTATTAACTTAAGTCAAGTTGTGTTTGGGTTGAATTTGGCTTGTTCACCTTAATTCATGACTATATTCTACTTAATTGATTAATTAGGATGAATTTTTTGTTCACACATGGAATTATCACTTTAGATTTCTCTATCGTTAGTTCTTTTTGAGAAGTGGGGGATTGACTATGTATGTGAACTTCATCCTCACTCTTCATGGGGAGTGGTGTATATCATCGTGGCCACCAAGTATACTACAAAGTGGGGACCAGGTGATGCAAAGAATGCCTCAGTTTTCTTGTTTGAAAACATTATCACTCGATTTGGTTGTCCAAGGATTCTAGTTAGTAATAGGAGCACATATTTTTTCAATGAGGTAATCCAAGATATGATTGATAGGTTCTAGATTAACCATCGGAAGACTCCATCCTATCACCCACAAACTAACGATCAAACCGAGAGGGATAATCAAATTCTGGCTAGTATTCTAAGGAAGACCGTCCAAGACTCTAAAAGAAATTGGGATACAAAGTTATAAGCTACGTTATGGGCGTATAGGACCACATTTAAGGTAACTACATAGGCTACACTATTTTTGCTAGTATATAGTATTGAAGTTGTTTTACTAATTGAATTTGAGATACCATCTCTCTGTGTTGCGATAAATACAAGGTTGACAAGAAGGAAATTGATAAGAAACTATCTTTTAATGTTAGAAGCAAACAGAAAACTAATGAAGACCATAATACCAATCCCATCGAATATCCCACCTACAAAACCAGAAGTACAATCATATTACACCCATACCACATCGGAGAGTCAAGAACTAAGTCCGACAACAAGATTTATTGCAGTGCAAAGCAAAACAGGATTCATCTCCTGCTATGAGCCAAAAATCTTGACTCCCATATTAGTTAGAATTAAATATTTAGTCAATGGAGAATTAGTAGGAAGATAGCCTTAGAAATTAATAGTTAGGTTGTATTGTCTTTTGAAGAGTTCAATATTTGTTCGAAGTAGGTTGTCAGCCATCCTAACCATCCTTGGTTTGAATTATGACTTAGGTAGCATTTTAATTAAGAAGTTATGGAGGACTTAATTATTAATTTATTTTAAAAGAAAAAAATAAATTTAACTTTTTAGCTTAGGAAGGGTGTTATCAATAGGAAATATTTTGTATTAGTGAAAGTAATTTTGATTTGTCAAAGAAGGAGTTGGCGGCAGTTTTGAAGATCAAGAAAAATTAAAAAGAAGGTGAAGATAATTACAAGATCAAGTTGAGGACGATGATTACTTTTTGATTGAATTGAAGGAAAATGTAACGGAGGACAAAGATGTATCCAATGGTAATCAATGGGATAATAGATAGATGAGTAATTAGGCTTGTAATAAGTTAAAGGAGTGAAAAGGGATGTGGTAAAAGAAGGACCAGCCCTTTGTGTGGATAAAAAGTAAGATAGGGTGAGTAATTACTGAAGGGGGCCACTTAAGATTCTTTCTTTTGACTTTGGAGGCTTGGCGACTAGGGTTTCAAGGGGGTGGATTGGCTTGGCCGCCCCTCCCTTCTCTCATTCCTCTTTCTCCCTCTTAGAGGCCCTCTCTCTCTTTCTCTGTAGGAGTGTAGTCTCTTTTTTTTCTCCTTAGGATGGTAGGTTACTAGATATTCTCTCTTGTATTTGAGTCTTATTGAAAGCCCTTGGCGGTGCCGGCCAAAAGGCTTGAATTATTGGCTTTAATACAAAGTTCAATATTGTTTTATTGTAGATATCTCTTCTAGCTTCTCATAGCCGTTTTCCGTTTGAGATTTGGACAAAAATACAATGAGATATGAATTTTCAAAAGTAAAGAAGAAAGTAAGGTGTTTTTTGGGGCGGCTGCTGGATCTGACTTTCAGGCCTGAGGTAAGCTTCTACCCCTAATTTTATATTTTCTCCTTTTAGATCTGTTTATTAGCTTTCTATTGCCGTTTGGAATTTGTGATTTGGTTTAGTAATGAATTAGATATGAAATTCCAAAGTTTGGATGCCTAGTTTTGGTGTTGTTTCTACCATTGTGCGTTGAATTAGAGCTGTCAGTGGAAAGTGAGAGTGAACGTCAAGTTTAATATTTTTACCTTGTAGATGACTTAAGTGGCTTTTCAAATCTATATTGCATGTTGAATTTGACTGAGAATCGAATTATTTATGAATTTTCAAAGTCCATCCATAGTTTTGGGTGGCTATCTCGACTAGCCGTGTTGGAGCAAGGCTGCGAAATCAAGGTTTGCTTATAACCAAAATGTGGTATTTTTCTTGCATAGATCTCTCCTCTAATTTTTTATAATGGTTTTTCAATTGTAATTTGGATACAAATTGAATTACTTATGAATTTCTAAAGATTTGATAGAGATCATTTGGAGGTTGGAGCTCGTGATTTGGAGGTTGGAGCTTGTCATATGGAGGTTGGAACTTGTCATTTGGAGATTGGAGCTTATGTATGTAGGCGCAATTTCTATAACAACTTACTTCTTTGTGAGGTTCAATCTTACCTTACACTATCATATATTAATTTTTTATATGGTTACTATTGCTTCAATTTTTCACATTATTTTTATTACTTTTGTATTTTATGTCCTTTATTATTTCAATATACCCAATTCCTTGGAATCCCTTCCTATGCAACTACTTCATATTCTTATCATATCATTGTTTGATCAAAAGTAATTGTAAGTTTGGTTTAATTATCAAACTATTGTTGTAATAAAGTCATTATTGTTTCACTTTGATTATTTTATATGTCTATAATAGAATAATGTTTTTCAACTATAAATCCTTATAGCATTTTAGCTTTTGGTTTTAAACATTTCTACTTTTGGTTTTTGGAGAAAATAATATTTTTTTATTGTAAAAAATATATCAATGATACAAGAAGCTTGAAATAAAAAAAAGTTGGTATTCAAGGGTGTTGATTAAATTACACTTGAATAGCAATGCAAATTTTTGTCTATAGAGCCACTGTGAACAAAATTACATTTCCACAAAGTTACTACTATGCCAATTTTTTATTAAAAAACTTATAAATTCATGATCAAAATTCCTTATCTTTGTCATTTTATCTTTAGCACTAAATTCTTGTATGTAGTATAAAAAATCCATTTTAACTCAAGTGAAACATATTCACACCTTATTGAATAGAGTACAAATAAAACTTCTTCTATTTTACTTAAAATTTAGAAAAAAATTAGTAAATATTTATTAATTTTATCTACAATGTTTTTTCTGCTTAGATTTACATTCTATTACAAATCAAATTCACAAAAAAATTCAAATATGTATTACCAATCTTTGAATCTGTTCTCTTTGCAAAAACAATTGAATAAGTTTCAACCCTCTTCTTTCTCTAAAAATTGGTGTAGAAGGATTTAACATCATGTACAACATGGTGGTATGAAACTTATACTTTGTATAACACAAAAATTTGACACTAAGTGAAGTCAAAGTTAGTTTATCCTTTTAACACAAGGAAGGAAGAAAAGGAAAAAAAAAATAAAAGTTTTTTTTTTTTTCTTTTTTTTTTCTTTTTTAAATTCCAAACTTTAAACATTATAATCTTCTAATTTGAGCAGTCAAAGATTATGAAATTTTGGGAATATGTTGTTTTTATTAGTCTAAATCATGTGGTTAATAGTAGACATAGAATTTCAATTTTCTTTTCTATTCCGCTCTTCACACTAGGAAAGGCAATTTTGACTACTTAAAAAATTTGTGTAATATTGTCAATGAACTTTACGGTTTGATTTATTTTCAACTTCTTGTATGTACTTTGTAGTTTATTATTGGCATATCTTGATTGCATTGAAGTAAATTAATGCTCTAATATTGTGCATAAATTGATGATGGAATGTGTCATTACTAGATGGTTCATGTATGGTTTGAAATTTATAAATTTCAGAATCATGGCAAAAGGTGACATCCTTGAATCAGCATCTTCTCTTTCCACATTGCCAAAGTGGACTGGAAGTTTGGTTTTTGATTCAACAAGGGATCTTCCTACATTGCCTCCTTGGACTGGTACTTTGGTATCTTATGTATCAGATATTTACCATTCTCCTATTGAATGCAATGCCACTACTCTTGCACACAATCCTCTTACTTCCTCACAATTTTCATCTATTAATCCAAAACACTTTCAGCATAATGTTAGATTTTCTACAAGTCCTTTCATTCATCAATCTCAAAACCATGCTTTTTTTTTTTTTCAGATACCTCTAGTGTTCCATTAAATCGGCATGAAGATGAAAATCCTCTTTCTTTTGAAATGGAGGGGGTTCAAGATTTTTTTAGAATTTATAGAACAGGTGGATTGAGAAATGGTTTAAAAAGATTTAGAACAGACTTATATGTGCATTGGCAACATTTTCAACCTCCATCCAAAGTACTATAAAAATTTCATTTTACAAAGAATAAAAAAAGCATCATTGATAAAATATTACAAAGTTGAAAAAAACATATCTTTGTGCTTCATGCACTATGACCTTTGAATTTATATGGTCAAAGAAAGAAACAAATAATTTAGTACTCTAAAATATGATATGATAGTTGTAAATGGAAAAACCTTTGGTTGATTAAATTTTCTATAAATTTTCCAAACAAATATATGAAATGTTTTCTGTAACATGTAATGAAACACATTTTTGCCAATGCACATATAAATCTGTTCTAAATCATTTTTGGGGTCAATATTAAAATTTGTGCCTTATATTAATTTGAATTATATTCATTATCATACACTTTACAACTATATTGACAACATCATTCAAAGTCCTGAAACACATTTAGTCAATTTAAAAATCATATACATGTTTTAATTAGAGCTTCATATGCATCTAGAGGTTTAAAGAAGAGGCAACAAATGATGATTATGGATGGGAATAGACTGATGGATTTGCATATGGAGTCATGGTTCATAATGTTGCATCTTGGGCCAAGCTAATGGTTCTTCTTTATGAGAAGAAATCAAAACAACCCACAAAAAATACAGTTTATTTCAAACTAGCAATTGATGTTCGTTGTCATTGGACTCAAGGTGGTCATGTACTTCTACTACCTTTAAAATCTAGCTTTCAAATAACTACCATTACAATCCATGAGACTTTTTAATGCAAAAACCCAATCAAAATTTATCAACTTCTGTTTGAAGGAACATCACATTTTTATTAATTGTTGGAGGATTGTGGAAAAATATTTATTTTATTCTAATAGTAAATTCAAAATAATTTATTATTTACAAATTCTAGAATTTTCTTTTAAAAATACTGAAATTTTATTTTGAATGATCGTACAAATTGGAACTTAAATAGAAATCAAATTTTTAAAGTATTGAAACTACGTTAATTGGACATGTGTTTCTAGTTGTTATATGTGAGATGAGATGCTTGAAAAGTAGAAATCATAATTTCATGTTCATTCTTACTACAAATTTCAAAAACTGGTGCTGCTTATGTTTTACTTTTAATACAATAAACTAATTTTCAAGATTCTGATTAATTTTTGAAGATTTCAGGGATTTTAGTGAAAGTGATGTGTGCATGTCAGGTGTGTGAGGTCTTCCTTGAATTATTGCCTGGTCAAGGACTCTTGTATTGCATTTCTAAAGCAAAGTTTGAAGGAAAAGATTTTGAGAGAGAAATCATTGCCTATATTGGTAATTGTAAGGCATGACCTGCTAGAAGACATACTTTAAATCAATTGAAAGATCTCATGGAAAGTGGTTTATCTTTCAATGGCTGGCACTTGAATGTTTGTATTTTAGAGTGTCACGACCTAGCTTGTATGTACTCCATTGTTACAAGAGGAGTGGCAAGTGCTTTAGGGTTAAAAAATTGCCTTTGGTGTTCAATTTCAAAAAAAACACTCAGTTGATGTGACTATGGGGATACCACTTCGACATGATGATACGATTACATCTATTGGACAATGTTGGCATATGCAACATTCTCTTGTGCAAGTACATTTTTATTACCCTTCTATATGTATTTAATGTGTATAATATTTTTATTCTTTGATTACTATACAACCATTGGAGTGTAGCCTAAAACTAAACATGAACAAGTTTCAAATTTAAGTAGTTTCATTTAGAGAAGAAATTGATAGTAACATAATTTACCATCACTAATATTTTTTTCATTTTCAAATGTTTGAATTGCTCTCAAAGATTTATGACATAAATTTTACAATTGTAAATTTTCAATAAAAGAACTTTCTCTTTCACAAATATTAAACACTGCAATACTATAGTGTTGTACTTCAAATTTCACTTTGTGTTTATTTTTACAATAATGTCAATAGTATGTTTATATCAATTCTTATTTTTATTCTTATTTTGGAGAGTATGTCCATCTATTTTAATCATGTCCTAAAATTTGTTATTTATAAGAGATAGTAAAAAGTTCATTGTACAATTTGAATTTTTTTAACATTAATAATAGTCTTCTTCATATTATGCTACTATAAAAGTGTGATACTTCATGCATATAAATTAGAAGCAATAAAAATAACATTAGAATCCTTATTAAGTATGAAAGAATTCTAAACTTGGTGGTCTCTAAACTTAAGTTAAAGGTCATTTTAGTTGCCTTTGAGAAGGGAGAAAGAGAGGCAATGTTGTACCATGAATCTTAGCCGCCTTTCACCTCTTTAACCCCTAAATGCCCAAGTATACCTGCGGGGTACAAATTGATTTTGGGCAAGTTCCTGAAAATCTATTTTTAAAGATTAATTTCTGAAAATTTTAGGGAGAATAGGAAAACGGGTTATCTTCGTGAAGAATTTTTCTTTCTTTTTTTTGGATTTATATGGAAAAAGTTATGGTGATATTCAACGTGATACGACTGCAGCTCTCGATTCATTCGGAATATAAAAGAACAAATTACCTACAACATCTCCATTGGTGTGTTCTAGCCAGTATTATATCCACGTGGCCAGCTGGTGAATCTGTACTATACTCTTGACTGAAGAAATGCTCCAATTACATGGACCGAAATGCATGCAGTCCGATTGGCCCAGCTGAAAAGTTGGTATCCAATAGTAGTGATCCACCTCATTCACGTCGCTTCGCCTTAAGACCCATGCATGCATGAATACAGTATGAGAGAATAGGTAGATTTTGGAAATTCAAAAATAGGATGCCAAAATGGACGTAATCAATTCGTACGAGAGCTGGAGTGATTGCGAATCCATTCCCGCGCCCTTGGGGGAACGCACCATCTATCAATGGGGGAATCCTGTGAACGCCCACGCCAACAACGCTCCATTCAAATTTCAAACCTCCGACAGCACTCAACGGAGCCTCCACCTGTGATCCCGCGGCCACGCGATCCAATCCATTCCGCAATAGCAAGATCCCGCCATGCGGTCATGGGGCCATGAAATCCAATATGGTTGTACCGGGGCCACGTGAACACAACACACACAGCAGGCCATGGCATTGGGAATTTTGAAGTACGGAACTGAGAGCACAGGAAGAAAGCACACAGCCGAGGCCCGAGAGCGGAGAAGGAGAAAACAGAGAAGAGTAGAGCAGGAAAAAGGAAAGATGAGAACACAAGCGGAGAAAAGATCAAATGAGGGCATGGAAGGCAAGAGGGTTTATTGGGGGTGTGTTGTTTGTTGGGTTTATTGGTTTGTTCAAACTGCACTTGTACCTTGAGGTCGACGACTTGTGCTCGACCCGTGATCCTGATACTGAGGTTCAATACTCTGAATATGCAACATGATGGTCATGGCGTGGTGTGGCGAGTTTTGATTGAGGTGTTGCAGTAGGAATGGTGTGAGGGTGGGATCGGGTGGGTCGGGCATCGGGGTAGGGCCATGCGGCATGGCGAAACCCTAGCATTATGGTGGAACCCCTGTAGTGGACACTATGGATGTAAGGGGGCTGCCTTGTGCATTTGCTAGGGTGCAGGGCAACCTCCGCCATGCCATCGCCAGAGCTGTGCCACGCCCCTGTCAACACGCCCAGTTCGAATTTGCTTCGCCACAGCGTTGCCATCCTAATGCGCTGCCGATCTGGACAGACGCTGTGACGTTGGGTGCCGTCTCCAGACTTTGTGCGGCCTTTGCATGTCGCGTCTCATCAGGTACTACATCTCATCTCCATTGGTTGTGCTGGGTGCGATTGCGCGGTACCCGGACCTGTGTTCCTTACTGAGACTGTCACGGGCTGTCGTCCACCTGCGTTGGGTGGGTGACGCCAGTGTGGTTGGCATGGTATTGCGTGTCATGGGTGGATTTTAGAGTTTTGTGGGCGAGGTTCGATTGGCGAGGTTCTTGAGGTTGAATGTGAGAATGGTTTGGTGCGGTTTAGGGTTTAAGGCAAGGTCCTGGAGTGTGGGTGGGGGAGTTATCGGGCATGTGGTGATGGTGGACAATTTGGGTTTTGAAGCGTGGGGCAGGATTCATCAATGGAGAAGTTTCCGTGGTGGCAACTGAGAGGCTTTGGTGGGGCGGGCGTGACGGGGGCAACTACAGATCAGGCTACAGTAGGGGCTATCCAAGCGGAGGCAGCAGGTGGGGCGGGCGTGGCAACAATCGTTGCGGCCCGAGCCCAGCGGTAGGGACAACTATCCGAGGTATGGCGCTATTGGGTATAATACAGGATTCGGCAATAGTGGAGGCTATGGCGGGGGTATAATTGGAAGATATGGAGGGAGCATGATGAAGCCAATCCCAGTAGAGCTAGGGTTGGGAGAGATGGATTCATGATTTGTGGGTGTTATGCGAGAGGTCGGGATAGTGTCGGTGATGTAGCATCGCAAGGTAGGGGTAGAGTTTGATAAAGTTAGAGTGGGATCTAGGCTATCTGTGGGGCACATCTGATATTGAAAGTGTGTAGTTTGGTGTGATTGGTGTGGATGCAGAGGAAGGACTGATGATAGGGTGTGGCGCGAGCTAGAGCAAGAGCCAGGGCGCATGGTAGCATGCTAGAGGTGAGGTGGATGATAGCGGTAGCTGGGCGGAGGGTGGTTAGCGGGAGCCCAAGGGCACCATGGACGGTGGCAAGGCGGATTGGCAGACGCAAATGAGGGGGTCGGATGGGGATAGAGGTAAGCGATGGATCTGCGAAGGGGTCCATCGTGCAGGGGGTGATATCGGAGGATCTCGTGGACGCAGTGGCTGGGGCGTGCGAGGCACTGGATTCGGGCGCCGGGGAGGTGGAGGCGCAGGGGGAAGGCGGAGGCTGTGGTGGCGGATAGCAATGGCACCGACGGAGGGGAAGGCCATCCGGACTGGGTTGGGCGATGTGGTAGTAATTGTGCCCGTGAGGATTATGGATGGGGCGGATGCAACAACAGGTGCATGGGAGGGCTCTCGATTGCCGGTGCACACAAAGAGTTGGAGCAATTTCAGCGCTATGTTCACGAGGACATTTGGCGACTAGAGGTGCAAATCAGCAGGATTTTCTTGCTAACCAGCTGGACTAAGCGATCGATGCGGCAATCGCTAGGTCAGGCGCACCGAAGCTGGGATCGGATGCGGATTTCTTTGAGTGGGGCGACCTAGCATTGGAGCCCGTGGTAATAGGGAGGGGAGATGTTCGGGGAAGATTGCTTGCTTTGGGCATCAAGTTCCATCGAGTCAGCTGCGATGTGGTTGCCAACGTGAAGGTGTCCCCCCATCTTGTATAGAGGGGCCGTATTCTTGTAGTGTTATCTTGTTCTAGTGTCGCGGTACAAGGTAGTGTTTGCCTGGTCAGTACGTTCGATTCGATGGCAAAACAAAGGACTCTAGTAACCCACATTTGAACCATAAAAACCAAAACTGAATCTTAAACCCTAAAGATTAAATATTAGACATTAAATTTAAAGACATTTGTTTTCAATTGTAAAGTATTTATAGGGGCCTTCATATCAATGTATGCCACAAATCAATTTCTAACCAACAAACAAAGTCAAAAAACCTTGAAAGAAATGATGATAAAAAATTTCTAGGACATTCTTGTAATTTTAAATCCTAAATCCACTTTAAATCCTAAATCCATTCTAAATTCATCCTAAATTCTAATTCTAAACCGTCCAAGTTAGAATACTTCAGCCAAACTCTAAAAAATTTAATCATATTTAAGATCAACATCCATAAAAATCTTCATATTAATAACATTCAATTACTTCTGAAGATCTCTTTCAAATTCAATATTAAAACCTTAAAATCAAAAGCTTTATTTAAAAATTAAACTTTCAATATCTCAAAATTTAAAAATTTACAGAGCAAAAAAATTATATGGTTGGAATCATAGACCTTGTAAACAAGAGGGGAAGAATCATCAAAATAAAAGTTTGAAAACCCTAATGCTTAAGGATGTCCATGTAACCTTGAACCCTAAAACTCAAAAACCATTCGACTCAATACAACACTTCATATTGCTGTTCGGCCTTGATATTGCATTACATACTTCTGTTCGGCCTCACTAGCCTTGTAGCTTTTTTTTTTTGCTATTGGTCCACAATCCTCGCAAGTCCAATACCCAGCCAACCAGGGTGAGATCTAGTTGCTAGTAGCTAACCAGCCTATCTACATACTGCTGCATGTTCTAGGGCCATTTTATGCCACAAGTCTATTACATGCTGTAGGCCATGACATTGTAGGATTTTTATCTTGTACTATGGCTAATTAGTTGTACTATCCATCTCTGTATACAAGGTCAGAGGGTTCAAAATCTACCACCTGCGAATCTAAATGGCTGCTATTTATTTATTTTTTAAAATCCAAAATACACCCTTAATAAGGGTTCTTAGGGGCCTTTCTAAGGATCATCTCCTTTCCAAATCCACATTAAAATACTATATTCAAATTTTTGTCATAATTCTTAGTAAATAGATTGCTCCCTTTTGTTTAAGGAATTAAGAGATTTTATGTCCGATACTCCTTACATCTACTCCTTGCAATACATGTGGAAAATAGTTGTCCATTGAGTATTTCCAACTGTACTGAGTTGTTCCTAACAACATATGGTCCTAATCAAACTACATCAAATTTGTGAATGAAGTCTAGTTTTCTAACATCTTATAAAAGGATCAACATGCTTGGCTCTAAAAAAAAGCTATTTTTACATCCTAGTAAAGATGATATTCCTTCTTTGTTGAATTGCCTCAAGGTTTTGACCATTAATTTGATGTACTTTATTTAGCATTTTAAGCCTCTTTAACCTAGTTTTTAGAAATTAAGTCTTAATCATTCATGTGTTGATGACAACATGTAGGAAAGGAATTTTAAATTCAATAGACAATACTACTTCAATGCCATGTACCAAAGAAAATGGTGTAGTTTTGATTGTGACTTTATATGTAGTTTTATAAGCCTGTAATATATCTAGAAGTGTAACATTCCAATTTCTTTTTAAATCTTGCATGATCTTGTATAAAATATTCATCAATGTTCAATTTATTCTCTCAGTTTGTCCATTGATTTTAGGGTGATAAGACGTGGTCTTTATATGATTAATATTGAATCTAGTTATTATTTCTTGGATAATCTCTTTGATAAAATGCATTCTCCTATCACTAATTAGAATTTTAAGACAATCAAATTTGGTAATAATATTTTCAAAGAGAAAAATGACTATATTTTTAGCATCTTTGATTCTCACAGCCTTCGCTTCTGTCCTTTTTGTTAAATAATCAGTGGCTATGATGATATATGCCATCTCCTTAGAGAAATAAAAATGAATTTTTTCTACATAATTTATGTCCTATTTCTTAAGAGGAACTAGAGATAAAGACATATAAAGAGGCAATTCCATATGGAGGTTATTTTTTGCATATCTTTGATATGCATCACATCTTTTGGTATAGGTATATGCATCTTGGAAAAGTGTGGGCCAATAATAACCAGCCCTCATAATTTTCTAACCAGTCAATTGATTAAAAAAATAGCCACCACAAATACTATCATGGCAAGCTACCAAAATGGTAGGAATTTCCTTACTTGTTACACACCTATATAGTATTCCTTCTACTCCTTTTCAATATAATCAATTTTCTATCACCACAAAATATCTACCATTCACTCTCATTTTTTTCCTTTCATCTCTTGGTAATCCTATTAATTTTTTTTGGATAGTTAGAAATTTTATAATGTAGGAATACCTTATAAGTTTTGCTATAGCCATAAAGAGACTCTTATTGATCAATCTATCATCTATAAAGATCTCTCCAAGTTCTTCGAATAAGCATGATAGATAATTTGCTTATCTGTGTATTTTTTTAAGTTTATATTTGATTTTTTAATTAAATTCCTATAGAAGTAAGATCTATTGTGTTATTCTATCATTCAGTTTATATTTATTGACCAAATATTTGATCATCATATGATCCATAAAAAATACCACCTAATTATATAAAAGATAATGGTAAAATTTCTTCACTAAAAAATTGTGGCCAAATATTCTTTCTCAATTGTGAAATAATTCTTTTTTTCCACAACAAGTTACCTACTTCCATATGTTATAAGATATTCTTTTCCTTTCTTTCTAAAAGGTTGATATAATGTACTTTTTACAACTGTTGCACTTGCACCATAATAGATATAAAAAGATAAACTTCAGTTTGGAGGTTTCAACATTGGATATGAATTTAACTTGCTTTTCAACAAGTCAAAATTTCTTTAACAGTCTTCAATCCACTCAAACTTAATTTAATTCCTCTCTGACTTGATAATAAGCAAGATGATTATAGCATAATCCAGAATTAACTCTTTCTACTATCCAGCAAATTTCAAAACTCTTTCAACTTTTTTCACACCTATTCATGGTTTTAAATCCTTTATCACTACAATCTTCTTAAAATTAGACTTTTTTTTTTTTTTTTTATGCACCACATAATCTAGCAGCATTTCTTTTTGAATAGTTAAATAGGTTTTATTAGAATTCGAAGCCAAATCTATCTTTTTGCACCTTTCAACACTCCTTGATACTTTCAAGATGTTTATCTACACTAAACTATGTGCTGAAATTGTCGATGAAAATAATCATGGACTTATACATTAAATTTAAGAAGATATACATGACTAATCATTGAGAGGTTGTATGAACATTGTAGAGTCCAAATGGCATTACAAAACAAATAAAGATTCACCATGGTATTGTAAATGTTGTTTTATGCCTATTCTCTGAAGTAATGGCTATTGGATTGCAGCGAGAATAAACGTCCATAAGTGTATATTTTTTATACCCATCTACCTCATTTAAAGTGCTATTTTTTAAAAAATAAGGAAAAATGGTCCTTTTGAATGTATTGATTGAATTTCCTATAGTCTATATATATACATAGTTTTTTTATTTTTCTTCCTCACTAGTATAATAAGAAAAATCCAATCTATAATGTCCATTAATTTTATAAAACCAATTTGCAACACTCTTTTAAGCCCTATCTTTATCAACAACTGAAATAAAGAATTCATTTTTTTCCCTTTTGTCTGATTGGAATTGCTCCAAAAATTAATGATATTCAATATTGAGTCACCTTAAGGGATATTGTTTTAAAGTCTTTATAAGACCAAGCAAACACATCTTTGTATTCTTTTACTAGCTCACTATAAGTTATTATCTTCTCATTATTTAATTCAGCTCCCATTTTGATCTTTTTAGGCTCTTTTCCATCTACCATTGCTTCTACATACTTTCAATCAACCTTTACAACATGAATTTGATCAACATTATTTTGATTCTAATTAAAAATATTTTTAGATAGTCTACCACATTCTCTTCTATTATAATATCAGTGAATATAGCTTTAAAATATAAAAGAAGGTCTATCTTTTTCTTTTCTTTTTTTTAATACTTCCATATTTTGGATTCCATCTATATGTACCTCATAGATTGCTTCTTAAGCTTTATTATTGAAAAATGATATTAGCTCAATATTAAGTCTTTCATCTTTCCATGCTACAAGTTATTGTATGAAATATCAACTCTATAGCTAAATGAAGGGCCGCTCTCTAATATCATTCTTTTTTCAATTTTTCCAATAAAATTTATATTTTTTATTCTATTAGAGGCTGAATTTGGATGATCATTTAATCACTACCTATATTCTACATTGTCCTACTAATGATATAAATTAAAGCCTATACATGCTAATAGCTTCAAATTCAAATTTTGGATGTTGTTTCCTGTTTTAATTTCCTCCACTAGTGCTTTATCCTTATTCAACTTTATTTGTACTTATTCATCATCATAAGATACTCCTTCCTTCACATTTATAGTAAAATTTGGCTTAATAATCATCCTTGTTCTATTTTTAAGAGGTCTATAAATGATTGACAGTTTTATTCTTTCTCAATCTACTATAACATTTGTTGCTTTCAACCAAGGACACCTAACAACAAAGAAAATGAATCCTTTGCTGCATACATTCAAATGACTTGGAAGATTAAGGTATATTCTTTCCCACTAGTGATAATCTTGCAATCTTTTATTTGTCCTATTAGTTTGGTTGGGCTTTGATTTGCCATGTTTATCACAAAAGGTGAAGGACTAGTTAGGCTAAGAGCTAACTTTTCCATGATATACAAGGATATTATATTCAATTCACTTCTCCATCCATTAATGCCTTATCCACTAGTATCACTTTTATTTTCATAGTTCTTATATCAAAAACTTTCTCAAAGCTTGTATTTTGGCTATCGTTTTCATTTTATGCTTTCTAATTCTTTTCACCACTAGTATACCATTCTTAAATGCCTTTCATGCAATAGGTAAAATCTCCAACAATTGAATAAAAGTAATATCTATTTTGAACCTATTTAAATCTACCTAAAGGTCATAAGACTTAGACTTGATTTTATGTGTCTTCCTTCTAAGTGCTTCAAATTCCTTTAAATATCAGGTCCTTTTCATTCTTCCTTCTCTTATTCTTCATTACTATCTCCACTTCTAGAAAATAATAATTTAGTATGTAAAAGATTTAGATAAGCTAGATCATCATTTATATCTTTAATTACTTTCATTGCATCTTTTATAGCTTTCTTCAATTTTGAATGATAAGAAGAATCTTCAAAGGAGCTATCTTTAGGATCTATGATCTTTATAATAAGAGGTTGTTAAGTTATCTTTGATCTAGTCATAACTGCTAAAATAGGAACTTTGGAGTTAGATGACTCTCCTTTTTTGGCTACTGCATGAGTTATCAAATGTGTCTCTAAAGGCTAAGACTCTATTTTAATGATAGAAGTAATAGTAAAAAATGGTGGATTAAAAATCTTAGATTTTTCAGGTATATTAGGAAACTTAACATCTTATGAAGTAGAAGACCCTGATTTATTATTTTAGCCCTAACTTGTACTCTATATCTGATTTAAAAATATGTGATCTCTATAGGTTTGCAAATTTATTGAAGGATAATAAGTTTGTCTAGTATTTCTATAGCTATAATATAGATTAAAAGGTCTAAAATTAATATTATCATCTCCAAATGAACATCTTTGATGTCTTATATTTTCTTGTATTTGTTGTTGAAGGTTTATTAGAAGTATAGGTAATAATATTACTTTATTTGATTGTCCACATTCATCAAAGGGCTGGTTGCTTTTACAACTGCTAAATCTAAAATATTAATTTTCCAACCAATATTGTCTAAAAATATGTTATCTATCTTAATATTGATAGAACTCACTTTATAGTCTATTTTGGCCTCTACAACCTTGCAATCCACTCTTATATCCTTTCTATCTATAATTATGGCCTTGTTGGCTTCTATATTACAAAAAAAGAAGTGGTTATTGAAAATTTGGATCTTGAGAGCCTTGTGGAGGTTTTGCATTACAAAACTATATTTTATGACTTAGTTGCGTACAGTTTGTATGCCAAAGACTAAAGGTATGTCTCATAAATTTTATCAAAGATAGAAGAGGATTTGAATTTTGATTCCTTGTTACATGAGCCATTTGTTTAGATAAGGTTTGGAATTATTTTATAATTATAACTTGAAAGCCTTATTGATTTATTTGAAGCATTTTTTCTATCTCATCTACTCTTTGTTTTAAGGTTACAACAAGCAATGTAGATAGAGGATTGGATTCTTTTATAATCAAAAACCTAAGAGGACTATCTTGCTTCATCATAAATAAAATTATACTGGGCAAAGATTAATTTGTTTTTTAATCTTCAACTTTAGGTTTAATAAGAAAAAATTAATGAATAGACTCATCTTTCTTTCTCTAAAGCCTTTCATAATTCTTTTCTATAATATCCACTTCTCTTACAATTCTTTTGGCAAACCAAACTAAGTAATAATGTTGGTTTGTGATTAACAAACATGCTAAAATCTTTATATATCTCTCCATTTGCAACGATCGATCTTCATCGTTGGTCCCATAGAACTTAAGAAAGTTCATAGGAATAATTATTGTTATCAAATCTTGAGACACAACAATGATAAACTCTATGGCCCTATCAAAGGATAAATTAGTGGTTGAGTCATTTTGAAATGAGTAGGTTCTTCATTCAATAGACTATTTTTTGTGAAAGTCTATCTCTTCATTAAAAATCCTTTAAGTTAAAGGAGGACTTTTCTCTCTTTTACTTAAAAATATAGAAGAGAGTTGCTCTTCCTATATTTGTGGTAATTCTTGGCTTTCAATAACAAGATTAAAAGAAATTGATGGCTCTTGAGGTGTTCTAGTAAACCTAAAATTGACTATGAAATTGAAGGGCTTTAATAGGTATTATTTATTTCCTTGTGGTTTTTGTGATCTTTGCTTAGATCTAATTCTATCTATATCTTTTAATAAAAGTGTTAACTTGGGATTTTTAAATCTAATTTATGCATGCATTTATTTGATTTTTAAAGAACCTCATCATATATCTTTATATACAACATATATATCATTTTTTCTTGTTTTGATACATTAAGATGAATTTTTTTTAAAAAAAATAATTAAAAGGTACTTATATGGCCATTTAGATTTGTAATTTTTCCAACAAGAAAAGTAAACGAAAAAGAATAGTACTCCAATTTGAATATATGTGAAAATTACTTCCATTATATTGTTGCCTTCATGCTGCCATATAAATTAAGTTTTGTATGGAACTAACCTTACTTGATGAATTCAAAAGATTAAAAGGATCATCTATTGAAAATTTTAATAAAAACGTATAAATGGAAAATTATCCACTATATAAGTAATAATCCTTAATACAATTGTAAAACACATTTCTTTTTGATTCATTCAAACAATTGATTAAGAAACATACTTTAATACAATCTCCATGTTATTTGCAAATTAACACATACAACTTTTTTGTTCATATATAAATTCTATCTAATACTAATCCCAATTAACTAATTGAGTTAGAATAAAGTTTTTTTTTGGGATTAGAATTTTGGTTGAAGGTGCAAATTTTAAGATTTTTTTTATCTAATCATCCAAAATGGATTTAGCAATTTATCTCCTAATAAACTCCTTCCAATAAGGCTCCAGCTAAATGCTTCTCTTCAATGCCAACTTCAACTCCTTCTCTTATTCGTACTCACCTTCACTTACACCACAATATCCAAAAAATACTTTCAAAACCAATTCTAATAGAGAAATTAGTAGCAAGATTAAAAATCCAACAAAATACATTAAATATTCTAAAACAATAATCATCAACCAAACCAAATACAAGAATAACTCCTAACAAATGTATCAATCTAAGTTAACTAATTAATATGCCTTTCAAATTTGTTCTATAATTTTAGTGTATTAACTCAACTAACATAGAAAAATTTCAACATAATACAAATAATTTTATTTATTTATTTATTACTTGAATTTTTATTGATAAAATAAAATCAATAATAAAGAACATGATGATGCTATTATTGTGGCCTACCAATAGGATTTACCAACTCCCAACAGCAAAAAGATAACTCCACCTACTTCGATGCTCCATGGCCAGCCTCCGTTCGACCTCGACATTCCTTGGCCAACCTTGACGACTTGCCTCATATGACATTAACACTGTTCTGATGTACTTTTACTCGCATCGCTTGTCCTCAATACTCCTTCATTCGGCCTCAATGCTCCGTTGCACACTACCATTCACTTTTTCACTCGACCTCGATGCTCCATTGCACGCTATCGTTCGGCCTCGCTAGCCTCACGATCTTTTTTTTTCACTGCCGGCCTACAACCTCATGTGCTCAACACCCAGCCAGCCTGCCTACACTACATTGCATGCTGTGGGGCCACAGGCCATAGCACTGCAGGGTTTTTACCTTGTGCTGCAACCAGTTGGCTATGCCATCCGTCCCTATGCATGAGGTTGTGGGTTCAAAATCCACCACCTGTAAATCTAAACAACTGCCCTTTAAATTTTTTTTAAAATCCTAAATACACCCTTAATAAGGATTCTTAAAGACCTTTTTCAAGGTTATCTCCTTCTCAAATCCACATTAGGATACTATGCTTAAATTTTTTAATTTGAATTATTTTATTTTAATCCCTAAATATCTAGAGAGCCTAATTTTTCTCCTTCAAAACCTTCTAATCAATATGACCAACATTTTCACATTTTTTTCCACATTCTTTGATATTAAATTTACAAAAAAACCACAAAAAACAATCGTCAATTGTATTATCTTAGTAACCATTAATACTATCACTAATTATCACCTACTACTAATCCTACATTCACATTATATTGAAAATTTATATTACATGCAATCATTATTTAATATTTTCTATTTTTTAATCTAATACAATAGTTATATTCTAAATAATTCTATCTACTCAAATTTTGGGCTCATAAAAGTATTTAATATCATAATTCAATTATAATTAATTATTAATATCAAAATAAACATTTTTTCTTATAATTTATCCTATTTAACTATACCGAAATATGCTTTTCTATAATTCTATCATTTCGTTGTACTATTTACTCTAACTATACTGTGAGTCAAATTTTTTGGCTTACACCCCTCTCCCATCTTATAGAAAAAATGCTCTCTATCATTTCCTTTTCTTTTAGATTTTGATACTTTTCAAATATAAAGACATTTTCTAGAGAAGATGTAATATGCAATGACACAAGCTTTTTACATTTTTATTATTGTCAAAAAATAACTCTTCTTTTTGAATTATAGCACACCTCTTGTCTCTAGTTCACCTATGAGCCAATTCACGAGCGCTTCTGTCTTGCCCTCAGTTGCACCCAACTGATCTCAGGTAACAACTTCTCTGATTTCAGGTATTCTCCGAGGATCCTATCTATGGGGCTATGCATGGTGATCTCACCTTCAACGCACAAATGCCAATGAACCCACGCTGGACAATAAAATCACACCATCATCCATCACAACTCGATGGCAACAAAAAAGAGGTTACTACAGACAAAACTTGCTTGGCAAGGTTTCAACAGAAACAAAACAAACAAGCAAAATATTTCAGCAGCATATAAAGTGTTGGTACCTGTTTAACCGTGTTTCCTGCATCATGAAGCTCCACTTCGTTGAATAGGTTCTTTCTGGAGTGTTTGCATGTTCCACACTGATGGAAATGACCGTCAAAATCCGCTGGTGCCCATTCTGGCCACGTGCCTTGGAGGAATCAATGTATTGTGTGTTCCTTTCACACCAGGTGGAGCGAATGCCACATCATCGATCTTAGCAGCCATGATGAAGATTATCCAACAAACGATTCCATCGACCCGCAAATGAAATAGCAGCAAACTAAACATCAGAGTTCTGCAACGGTCCCAAAATCAGAAGAAGACATGCAAACTATCAACCTTTGTCTAAATCACTACGATTTCACACTTGAGTCACCTTCCATTAAAACATGGTCGGAACATGGTACATTAACAACTCACTCTCTAAAGTAGGTTGCAACAGGTTTCCGTGACCCCAGTATCCCTCACCATACCTCATCACCAGTAATCACCACATGAGCAGACGCCATCTTTAAAATGGTGAAACCGATTAGCATCCCTCACTATGATCTCTCGTCCCTCCACCTTTGAGATTAACTTAGTTGCTCCATGACAATCGGTGCACACCCGAAGGTTCTTGAATACACGAATAGGATTTCCAGGGGGTGTATGCATCAGCCCATACACAATTGCCAACTTCTCACTGTGAGAGCAAATATCAAGTTCTTTGTCCTTCATGTTCTTGTTCTTCAGCACTAGCCGGGTATCAGGAATGTACCCTTCAGCCTTTATTTTTTCAATCACTTTGTCCTTACTTTCATTTATCTCCTTGCATTCTGGATGAGATGAGTCGGCTACCAAAAAATCATGAATCTTGTTATCGACTTCGATCCAGCTACGTCCTGGCTCCTTGCGAATCCCTCTCTCGCGCATCATAGTCCGCACCCATGATACCATGTCCCACTTTCCAGCTTCAGCATAGATGTTGGAAAGGAGAACATAGGTAGCAGCATTTTTCGGATCCAATTTCAGACGTTCTTTCGCAACAAGTTCGCCCAACTCTACGTTACCATAAGTTCTACAAGAACCAAGCAGGGCTCCCCAAGTTGCTTCATCAGGGTCAACTGCCATGTTATCAATGAAGAGCTTTGCTTCCATCAAGCGTCCTGCCCGCCCCAGGAGATCCACCATGCAGTTACAATGAGACACATCGGGTTCAATGCCATAAACTTGTGTCATAGCCAAATACTGGGAACGACCTTCATCAACAAGGCCTGCATGACTGCATGCTGACAGAACTGCTACAAATGTGACCCTATCAGGCTTCACACCGTGTGCAGTCATTCGTCTAAAAACCTCCAAAGCGTCCTGCCCAAGACCATGTTGTGCCAAGCCAGAAATCATCGCATTCCATGATACAACATTGCGCACCTTCATTCTGTCAAACACCACTCGCGCATCATCAATGCTACCACTCTTTGAGTACATGTGAACAAGTGCAGTGCCCACACGCACATCAACCTCAAGCCCTGAATCCAAGGCATGCCTGTGAATCTTCTTCACCCACTCCAATGCCCCTGCACTTGCACATGCATTCAAGATGCTCAAAAACATGATTGCATCTGGCTTACAGCCCTCTGTCTGCATCTGAAGAAACAGATCATATGCTTCATGCCCACGCCCATGTTCTGCAAATGCGCCTATCATCACATTCCATGATACAACATCACGCACCTTCATTCTGTCAAACACCACTCGTGCATCATCAATGCTACCACTCTTTGCGTACATTTGAACAAGTGCAGTGCCCACACGCACATCCAACTCAAGCCCTGCATCCAAGGCATGCCTGTGAACCCTCTTCACCCACTTCAATGCCCCCTCACTTGCACATGCGTTCAAGATGCTCACATAAGTGATTGCATTTGGTTTGAATCCTTCCTGTTCCATTTGTAACATAAGTCGATATGCTTCCTTGCCATTTCCACTTTGTGCATAAGCTCCAATCATCACAGTCCAGGAGATGATATCATGATTCATCAGGTTATCAAAAATACGCCTTGCCTCGTTGATGGACCCACACTTTCCATACATCCTAAGAAGGGCAGTCCCCACCCGCACATCTGATTCAAGCCCACCATGTCTAATGCATGCATGAACTTCTTTGCCCCATTTCAACGCGGACAAACTGGCACAAGCCTTCAAGATGATCATGTAAGTACCCGCATTTGGCTGCACACCTTCGTGGCACATTTCCCTAAAAAGTCTCATTGCATCCTCGGCATGCTTGTGCTCCACATAACCTGCGATCATGGCATTCCAACTAGCACCACTCTTTTTCACAAGTGCATCAAACACACAGCGTGCCTCCTGCAATCTCCCACATTCGATGTACACATGCAGGAGGTTGTTCATCACATGTGCGTTTTGTTCCATTCTGCTTTTGATGATGCAATCATGAACCTGCTTGGCTGCCATAAGGTCTTTTTGCTTCAAGCACCGCTTCAAAACTTCAACATACATAAAAGAATCTGTAATAAGGCCTCGTTGCAGACGGTTCATCAGAACCACAATCGCTTCACTCAAGGTATTCGCAGTTTGCACATGCATATTAATACCACCTTGCGCAATTCGACCCAACACTCTCGCACTTTCACATGCAGTGGCTAATTTTCCATCGTTGCCCTTGGGTTGCCTAGTTCATCAACAGATTCAGCATTAGAGCAACCTCAAGCAGAAACCACCAATACACAAAGTGAACAATGCAAAGCAATTGATGTACTGTACAGAAAAGTTGCATACATGCATCCTCAGCATACATCACAATCTTCACATTTCTACCACAAAGAGCAATCCCACCAGACGTGCAATTAAAAAAGCAAAGAAACACAAGCAAGAGTGGCACAATCCAAATCCTCAACATAACTCAAATCCCAGATTTAGGTTGCCCTGCTTTCCTTATCATTACAGATTAACATGCTCGTGCTAATACCTTTTCCCTTGTGCACCGCCTTCAGTACATTTGGTGGTACATGTAGCATAAGATTGCAATCCCACCTGAGCCACGGGTTGGAACTTCACCCATTCTGGAGTAAAACAACCATCTATCCAAAGCGCTTTCCCTGTCACCTTATGTTTCAAGTCAGGTGACCTCGGATTCCTCTACACAAACCACCCAAGAATCAGGTATAGGAAAACCTGACTAATACTTACTAATCTCTCCTCAACAGTTGACAATCCAGGAGTACATCTTTCTAACTACAACGATCGACCCCAAGCATGCCAGAAACAGAGTCATGGTGATACCTTATGAATCCTGTTGTCCCACCACTGAGAAGGACCCGCAAAGTACTCCCAGAGTTCATCAATCGTCTGCGAATTCTCTGCAACAAACTTCATCCATGTCGGTCCATCTTTCCAGAAGGGACGCAAAATAGTTTTTAAATAATATCTCATGATTTGCTGAATTGTAGAAGAGGTGGATTGATTGAGTGGTTCTAACTCTTTAGAGCTCAGACCGTTCCCAAAAACATCTCCTCAAAGAGTGAAACAAAGCTGACTTCCAAAAAACGCTCAAACTTGGGTGCAAACGACACAATTCACCTTCAGATTGACGAGAAGAAGGATCATCAGAGGTGGATGAGAAGCTCCAAGGAAAAGATGCCCACAAGTCAAACCTACGCCCCAGCAGCAGTGAAGGCAAGCCACCTCTCGCTCTTCCAGCTCCCTGGTGCAACATTTTAACCTCCAGGTACCTATCAATACATTATCAAGCTAGGAACTGAGAGACTCATCAAGCATTCGAGACAGAGTAAGACACCAGTAGAATATACAGCATTTGTCACTTTCTGGGCAACTAGTAACCTAAATCTTCAACGAAATTTCAAGCTCTCGAGAAATTTTGAAGACCCACTGCAGCGTTGATTCATGGTTAAAAATAAAAATGTGGCAGTTTGACACATATTCTTCCGTGCATTTAATAATTCAGCTACACATTACAATTTTGCGCAAACGTATAAATTCATGCCCACTGTAACGCCCCAGCACGATGGCTTTGTGTAAAAGTCACACAATTGATTCCTGTTTATCAGTATTTCCTTTCTTTTCTTCATCAATTTGCTAGATGCTTATCCCTGCACAACCAGAGAATGTTATTTTCGGACAGCAAAACCCAGTGACAAGGGGCATAAATACTCTATTACCAGCCTCAATGTACAAGAAATTTAACTTACGAACTAAGCACTGCATTGCCACCCAAAAAAATTGCTACACTTATATTAGAAATAATTGACCAATTTTGAAAAAACACTACAACATTTCACGATACAAAACTACTTCTATTGTGAGTGTACATTCCTAGGTGCATCAAGCTCTTAAGAGAGTTAGCTTTAAACCCAATCGAGAACTAATGAAGGAGCCAGATAATGAAGTTTTGTTACTTTGTGAGTTCTTTACTAATGAAGAAATTACCATCTCTAGTGTGACAAGAATGGCAAGTATAAAATTACATCCAACCCACAACCACACTGTCTGCAACATCCTGGAAGACAAACTCACGGGGGGCTAAACAGCTCTATTGTCTACAGAATGTGCATTCCGGAGATATTTTTTCAAAAAAAGAAAAAAAAAGAAAAAACAAAGATTGATCTCGAACCTGCGGGTAGCTTGACCGCTCCGCAGCAAGCGCCAGATGCACGCTGAAGCTAGAGCGCTGCACGGCCCGAAGCTCCTCCTCGTAGCATTTGCAAGCCTCCTCCGCGGTCAGCACCACTACCACCGGCTCCCCTGCTCTGATAAAATATCGGATTCCCTCGAAATACAATACGATAATTGCAATTGCGTCGCTGCAACCCACGAGAAGGCAACCCAAACGCTGTACAATACGCATTAATGTGCCGCTCAAAGGGCAGTGACGTTCCGCGGACAAACATGAAAGGCAACCCGGAACGAAATGGGCTGCGAACGGGTGTCCGCTGGCCCCCTCAGCACCAAGTCCCATGCAGAAACAGGGGAAAACCCTAAACCCCGCGTTACCCCCGTTTCTGCCGTGAGAGAAGCTGCTGGAGGAGCGGGCTGCCTGCGCTCCGACTCCCCACACGGCCGCCGTCGGCTTGCCAGCGGCGCCGAGCTCGGACAAGGCAGCCCCGCCGCGTTGCCCTGCGGCCGCGGCTCTCAGCCCTGGCCCGCCACAAACTGGACCGATGGCTGGGCCCAGAGCTTGGCTGGAGTCTCTTGGCTTCTTGGGGCCTTAGCCCCAGTCCAGGGGTCTGTCGGCCTGCTGGCCCCCCGAAACTGTAAGTTGGGACCTTTTGAGGATTTTAATAATAGTCCTTGAGAGAGCCGTGTGGGATTTCAGGGCTGTGAGTGTTGTGAACATTTTCGCGTACATACAACCATGTACATTCAGCTAAAGAAGCGTCATACACAAGCTAGAGACTCATTGCAGTGTGTTAAATTCAATATTGAATGGTGAACATTATCATGCAGAAATTCTAGAGGTAAGCCATCACAATTTAGCAGGCTACACCATTCCCACGACTATTTTGGACACCATTTTATTCAAGAATGCTGGTGTACCTTGGCAGCTATGGTGCAGATGCAATATATCCTTGCAAAGGATATCTGTAAAACATGTCTATACACTCACGAGTATTAAACTAGGTTCTCTTTAGCATATGCCTCAGAATCTCATTTCTATCGACCGTGATCTCTGTTTACTGAAAGCTTGAGATGAACCCTGCTTCAAGTGGTTTCATTGTGGCTTCAATGCCCTCAAGCATTGATGCCAATTTCTAAAGAAGAGCTGTTCAGTGATGCAGGAGGCTAGATTATGCATGCTGGAGTTATACACCACGTTCCTAAAACTGGTAATTGGAGGGTTTACTCAACCCGGATAGAAATCGGACATACATGTGATGATTCGATCAGGAGCTTTGTGGCGTGGATGATCGAGCAAAGACGGAGGTCGCAAGGGCCTTCAGTCGTCGAACTCTGAAAATGACAATTGTGGTGGTTCACATACAAGACTCTAGCATCAGCTTCGAGGATCCCTTTCATGATTTTTAACACCATATTGATGACGCGTTCACATCCGGTTCCAGCATTGAAGCATTAAAACTAAACCCTAACCTCTCTACATCTTCCAATCTTGACTACATGCCGGGTGAAGGCAAAATAGGGAGGAGGTGTGCGACATGTGCATGTAAGGCGATGCAAAGAGGAAGAAGGTGCAACATGCAACAAGGGGCAGGAGGATGATGTTGCGAGGGACACGGGAAAACAATGGAGGCGAGGAAGGATATGCGAAAGGGTAGGACGAGGAGGAAAGACGAGATAGGGCAAATGTCAAGGGAGGTTTGGAAAGACTTGCGGCAAGCATGGCGCAGCATAACGGGTCCACTCAATTGCGCGTGAGGCTGACTAGGGAGGAGATGGGTGGGACTTAGTGCTGAGGCTGGCCCGCGACAGGGCTGCCAGGCCCGATCTGTTGCACGGCTGCAAGGCTCGGCTCACAATGGGGCTGCAGGCGTGGGGCAATGGGGTAGGACTACCATGTCCGAACTTGGCACCGTAGGCGAGCCGAGGGCAGACGGCAATGTCAGGAGTCAGGCACAGGCAGCTTGCCCCTACCACACCTCCCCTAACAGATATGGGGGCAACGGGGCATTATCACTTTGTGACATTTCCCATGTTTCCGCACGGGACTCAATACTGAGGCTGGCCCCTGCCCTAACTCAGAATATGAGTAAGAAACCAATGTATTTTGATGAATCGCCCTCGTTCCGTATATAAGTTATTTCACGTTTCTCGTACAGGCCCTGGCCGCTTTCCGAAATACGGAAACAAATCCAGCGGCCTGAAAAAGAATTTTAGTTGAATTTCTTTTAAACCGAATGAGTTGCTAAGAAGCTCTGTGTAAATTTTTGAGAATGCAAAGTTTTCACAAATTTCAAAATCCTTTTAATTTAATCTTAATTTTTAAAGCAATTTCATTAACTAATTAGCTCCTAAAGGAGCAAATTTAGCATTTATAGGGTGGCAATTGTAATGATTTTTTTTGATTTTTTAAATACAAATATATATTAAAATAATCTAGAAGGCAAGCCAAATTTCACAATTTTTTGATATTTTGTTGAAGAAAAAATATTTTTTTTGTAGCTATCATCATTTCAAAAAAAACCTTAGTTTTATGACATACAATGGAATAAGTTGTTGCAACTATCATGATGCCGTTTAAATTTAAGATAAAATTGTTTAAGATCTAAAATTCTAGTGCCATTGTAAGAGCTATTGATAGATTTCCAAAGTCCTTCCTTTGAAAAGATAGCCTTCTCTCTTAGATCAACAAGGCTACAAGTTTCATAGTTTGCACATTTATTTTTTTATTTTTTGGAAATAGATCACTATATTTTCATTAATCATAATTTAATAAATAACATATTAGCATAGGTGGAGGTTAAAGCCATTCAAAAATTTAAGAAAATTATAAAAACAAGATTTTTTTTTATGAACCATTGTAGAGAAGAAATTTGCAATAATTGATGAATATTTGGATAAGTGGATTATATTTTTTATGAAACAAAATATACAAGGTATTTTTCATAATTTCTCTTTTATTTTCCAAAATAACACCATTCAACCAATAATCAAAAATTATATTATTTACTACGTACAGTATATATAGATATTCAATGTTTTTGTAAGTTCAATCACTAATTGTCAGGAACAAGAACTTGAAGAAAAAACGATTCAGACAAGTGTCCCTTCACTCAAAGAAAGGTAACAAAATATAAATAAACAAGTATGTATATTGAAAGAGAAACTAGAATGGCTATTACCAAAAGACAAAGAAACTAGAGACCCTTGAAACTAGACTGGAAACAAGAAAGGAGTTGACAAGAGTGAAGAAGGCTTCACTCTTGTCTCTATATATACTATCTAACTAGGGGTTATGTGGCGACGTTCTATAGGACCTCCAATATGTGTTGATTTTGTAGGACACATGCCTTGACTTACAAGGCAAGTTCTTCTACGTGTGGGCCATATAGTTAGCTTGATCTTCAAGCTAACAACATGTGTGGCACATGGCCAACTTGTTGACCATGTTTCTAATCCAAAAAATCAATTAAAGACACCTATGAAGTCAAAGCGGCGTTTATGAAGCTTTTAGGAAGCTTCCATATTAAATACTATAGAATTAACTTACTTTTATCTACTTTTACTTACTTCCACCTATTTGTATATGTAATTACTAGCTTACATGAATATGTCTGTGATATTATCTCCCCTTCTAGGAACGAGTTCAACGAGGAGCAGTCATCATATGTTGAGGAAATCTATGATGCGACGAATTATATTCGCCACATACTCTGATCTTTGTTCTCTTTGAAGATGATTGATAGGGCCTCTCAATCATCGATAGTGTCTCATACCAGGGCGGGAAGACCATCCAATTATTTGATCATTGTTGAGGCCTTCATAACTTCCTTCGAATATAACATTTGAAATACCATCAAGAGTTGTTCCTACCTCTAGCAAAATCACCAAACATTAGGAGTTCTTCCCAAATTGTCATACCAAACGCGTTGTATCTCTCCATCTATTCGAGGAAGAACATGTCGCTCTTGAAGATCTTCATCTTGATTGCGTCGTCTTGAACGTTGTGGCAATCGTAATGTCTCATCCGGCAAGTCAGCAAATGAAGGCTCTTGAGTCGAATCTGTTGGTTTCTGGTTCTTCATCTCTTGAGCATCACAATTACAAAGAAGCTACAAACAAGGATTGAAAGTAGAATGTTATCTTACCTAGATGTTGTTTCTTTTCTAAAAAAGTTTTTCATCTTGATTTTGATGGATGTCATCGATGAAAAGCCATTACCACCTTTGCTGCATTGTAAGATTCTTTATTGGCTTCCATGTCCGTTCACTAATATCATATCCATACCAATAGAAAAGATATTTCAATTTATTTCGGTGCCGCCTTGAATCTAAGACTTCTTCTACTTCAATCTCTTAATTATTGTCCACTTCTATAGGAGGAGGTGGAGCTTGTCATCTTCTTGGTATGTCTACTATCTTGTATGGTTCAATAAGAGACACGTGAAATACAGGATGGATTTTCATTGACTCCGGTAGATGTAAACGATATGCAATTGGATTGATTTCTGCAGAAATAGAAAATGGTCCCAACCTTTCATAGTCCAACTTGTCACAAGTAAGAGTAGTCTGTATATTACGCCAAAGTAACTATATCTTATCACCCAAGACAAATGGTGGTTGTTCCTTTCTATAAACGTCTGTATTGACCTTTTGTTGTTCTTGAGCCTCTTTTAACTACGCCTTCATTGTTTCATGTAGCTTTGATAAATGAATCGCCAAATCTTTTGCAGAAGGATTATCAACTTTTGAAAAGTCAAAAGTATCAAGTCGTAGATGATAACCATAATTAGCAAAGAAAGGTGTTTATTTTGTTGAAGAATATACCGTGTTATTGTAAGCAAACTTTGCCAATGGCAAAAGAGTTGTCCAATCATCTTGATGGTAATGAATGGTTCATCTTAATTATTACTCCAAAACTTGATTAACACGCTTCGTTTGTCCATCAATTTGAGGATGGAATGCCAAAGATAGTTTGATATCTACTTTAAGAATCTTGAAAAGAGTCTGCCAAAATCTTAATACAAATTGAGTTCCCCTATCTCATATAATATCCTTGGGTAATCCATGATAGCGATAAATATTATGAAGAAAGAGCTTAGCTATTTCTTCACCTGTGATAGATTTTGTACATGGTACAAAATGTGCCATCTTGATAAAACGATCTACTATCACGAATATAGAATCATAAGAACCTGAGATTGGAAGATCAGTGATGAAGTCCATAGAAATAGAAGACCATGGTTGTTCTGGAATGGATAATGGCTGAAGAAGTCCAAAAGGTCGATGACGAGGGGTCCAAAAGATCTTGAGCAAACATCACATGATTGT